GCTTGCCACTCTTTGCGAGCCCGGAACGGACGGCGCTCCCACCTCCAGCTCACCCCCCAAGGTGTCGAGGATGTGCCACGCCTGCCACGCTTTCGGATAGCGCTCCCACCCCCAGCGCATCCCGTGTGGTGTCGAGGAAGTGCCACCCCTGCCACGATTTGCGAGCCCGAAACGGATAGCGCTCCCATCCCCAGCGTGCCCCCCTTTGGTGTTGAGGACGTGCCACGCCTGCCACGCTTTGCGAGCCCGAAACGGATAGTGTTCCCATCCGCAGCTCGCCCCATGTGGTGTCGAGGACGTGCCACGCCTGCTACGCTCTGCGAGCTCGAAACGGATAGCGCTCCCACCCGCACGTCACCCCTGGTGTCGAGGAAGTGCCACGCCAGCCACGCTTTGCTCACTCCCTGTGGTGTCGAGGAAATGCCACACCTGCCACGAGTTGCGAGCCCGAAACGGATAGCGCTCCCACCCGCAGCGCATCCCCTATGGTGTCGAGGAAGTGCCACGCCTGCCACGTTGTGCGAGCCCGAAACGGATAGCGTTCCCACCCCCCGGTCACCTCCTGTGATGTCGAGGAAGTGCCACGCCTGCCACGCGCTGCCAGCCCGAAACGGATATCGCTCCCACCCCCAGTTCGTCCCTTGTGGTGTCGAGGATGTGTTTCGCTTGCCACGACTTGCAAGCCCGAAACGGATAGCGCCCCCACCCACAGCGCAGCCCGTGTGGTGTCGAGGAAATGCCACGCCTGTCACGCTTTGCGCACTCCGTGGTGTCGAGGAAGTGCCACCCCTGCCACGCTTTGCGAGCCCGAAATGGACAGCGTTCCCACCCGCAGCGCGTCCCTTGTGGTGTCGAGGAAGTGCCACGCCGGCCACGCTGTGCGAGCCCGAAACGGATAGCATTCCCACCCGCAGCTCGCCCCATGTGGTGTCGAGGACGTGCCACGCCTGCCACGCTTTGCGGGCCCGAAACGGATAGCGCTCCCACCCGCAGCTCGCTCCTGGTGTCGAGGAAGTGCCACGCCTGCCACGCCCTGCGAGCCCGAAGCGGATAGCGCTGCCACCCGCAGCGCATCCCCCATGGTGTCGAGGAAGTGTCACGCTTGCCACGCTGTGCGAGCCCGAAACGGATAGTGCTCCCACCCCCAGTTCATCCCCTGTGGTGTCGAGGAAGTGCCACGCCTGCCTCCCTTTGCGAGCTCGAAACGGATAGCGCTCCCACCCCCCGTTTACCCCCTGTGGTGCCGAGGATGTGCCACGCTTGCCGCGCCTTGCGAGCCCGAAACGGATATCGCTCCCACCCACAGCGCAGCCCGTGTGGTCGGCAACACCCCAACATACTTATACTATATGTGCGTCGCCCCCCCAGGGGCGACGCGCGCACCGAGAAATCTTATAGTATATGCGTCGTGGCGGGCGCTTTCTGGCCACACCGCTCGGGAAACGATATACTACAAGATGGGTATACTATATGTTCAGGTCGGACGCGCGCCTCCAAGGAGGACATATAGTATTAGTATGTCCATGTGCGTCCCATGTGGTGTCGAGGAAATACCACGCCTGTCACGCTTTGCGCACTCCGTGGTGTCGAGGAAGTGCCACCCCTGCCACGATGTGCAAGCCCGAAACGGATAGCGCTCCCACCCGCAGCGCGTGCCGTGTGGTGTCGAGGAAGTGCCACGCCTGCCACGTTGTGCGAGCCGAAACGGATAGCGTTCCCACCCGCAGTTCACCCCATGTGGTGTCAAGGAAGTGCCACGTTTGCCACGCTTTGCGGGCCCGAAACGGATAGCGCTCCCACCCCAGCTTACCCTTTTGTGGTGCCGAGGATGTGCCACACTTGCCACGCCTTGCGAGCCCGAAGCGGGTAACGCTCCCACACGTCTCGGGTGTAAGATGCAGTGAGCACGCCAGGCGTGCACAAGCGTTGTATGGTGTATGTTGTGTGTGTGCGTGTGCGTGTGCGTGTGCGTGTGCGTGTGCGTGTGCGTGTGCGTGTGCGTGTGCGTGTGCGTGTGCGTGTGCGTGTGCGTGTGTGTGTGTGTGTGTGTGTGTGTGTGTGTGTGTGTGTGTGTGTGTGGCGTGCGTGCGTGCGTGCGTGCGTGCGTGCGTGCGTGCGTGCGTGCGTGCGTGCGTGCGTGTGTGTGTGCGTGTGTTTGTGTTTGTGTTTGAGTGTGTGTGTGTGTGTGTGTGTGTGTGCGAGTGTGTGCATGCGTGCGGCTGCATGTCGACGCGTATCTGGTGCCCGTGCCGTGCATGGGTTGCGTGTGGGTGAAGGGAGAAAGGACGTGGAGGAGGAAAGGGATGGGAGGTGGGTGGAGAGGAGACGCGGGTGCGACGCGGCAGGGATGAAAACCAGAACCCCACGAAACATGTGAGGAAAAAGGTGGGGAGGAGGAGGAGAAGGAACGCGGGTGCGACGCGGCAGGGAAGAAAACCATAACCCCACGAAACATGTGGGGAACGACAACACCAACAACAATCATCCGTAAGGGCTTCGCCCCATGCCGCGGGCCCCCTTGTCTCGGATAATGGTGGATGCAAAAGCTAAATCATGAGGTTTGGGCGCCGCCGTGAAGCAGTGTCAGGACCTGTTTGTTTTTCGACCCTGACCTTACGGATCTGCGTCACGGGTGCCACCGAATTTTAGATATGTGGCAAATCCTTTGTGTTTTTGGACCGTGACCTTGCCGATCTGAGAAGGGTGCCGCCGAATTTGAAACATGTGGCGAATCCTTTGTGGTTTTGGACCCTGACCCTGCCGATCTGCGTGAGGGGTCCCACCGAATTTCAGAAATGGTGTACATCCCTTGTGCTTTTGGACCCTGACCCCGCCGATCTGCGTGAGGGGTGCCACCGATTGTCAGAAATGTTGTAAATCCCATTTGTTTTTGGACCCTGACCCCGCCGATCTGCGTGATGGGTGCCATCGAATGTCAGACATGTTGCAAATCCCTTGTGTTTTTGGACCCTGACCCAGCCGATCTACGTGAGGGGTGTCACCAAATTGAAACATGTTGCAAATCCCATGTGTTTTTGAACCCTGACCCCGCCGATCTGCGTGAGGGGTGCCACCGAATGTCAGACATGTTGCACATCCGCTGTGCTTTTGCACCCTGACCCCGCCGATCTGCGTGAGGAGTGCCACCGAATGTAAGAATTGTGGCAAGTCCCATGTGTTTTTTGAACCCTGACCCCGCCGATCTGCGTGAGGGGTGCCGCCGGATTTCAGAAATGTGGCAAATCCCATGTGTTGTTGGACCCTGCCCCTGCGGATCTGCGTGAGGGGTGCCGCCGAATTTCAGAAATGTTGCACATCCGCTGTGCTTTTGCACCCTGACCCCGCCGATCTGCGTGAGGAGTGCCACCGAATGTAAGAAGTGGCAAGTCCCATGTGTTTTTTGAACCCTGACCCCGCCGATCTGCGTGAGGGGTGCCGCCGGATTTCAGAAATGTGGCAAATCCCATGTGTTGTTGGACCCTGCCCCTGCGGATCTGCGTGAGGGGTGCCGCCGAATTTCAGAAATGTTGCAATCCCTGTGCTTTTGGACCCTGACCCCGCCGATTTGAGTGAGGGTTGTTAATTTTTTCCCACCCCAGCAATTCAGGCAACACGCTCAGGGCGTCGTAAAAATGACCGTTTTGGGCATCCCCCCCCTCGCACTGCCCATATATTATTCACGGCGTGGAGCTGCCCATATGCGCATCTATTCGCATGGATTGGTCCGCCGTGAATGTCTAGGTGCAAGAGCTTTCGAATATAAACGGGCTTCAGTTGTGACGGTCTGGACGTGAATCTAATTGCGAATGAATTGGAGTGTGAATGAGCCTCAGATATACGAGCGCGCCTCTGCGCATGAGACCTAAAAACATTGCGGATTAGGGCCACAGGAGAAGGGCAATCTATAGGAACACAAGTAAAACACCAAGGATTCGTGCCCCAGGAGAGGCCCAATATATATGTGTGTATATACATATATATATATATATATATATATATATATATATATATATATATATATACCGGGGAACGGGACCTGGGGCCGCCAGATTGGTGCCTCGGACCCCCATGGGGGCCACGGGGCTCCAGGACGCTCCCGGGGGCCCGAACCTCGACCACACAGGTGGAGCCCTGGGCCCGGGCCGCCTCTGAGAGGGCTGAAATCGCCGTCGGGAGCCCTCAGACAGCCGTCCCGGCAGCCCTGGACGGTCTCGAGACGTTCCCCAGACCGCCTCCAGGCGTCCCCATCCGCCCACGATACGTTTTAAACTACCCAGGAAGCCCCCCCAAGACGTCCCAAGACGCTTCAAGATGCCGCCCTAAAGCGGCCCGAGAGTCCCAAATCGCTGATTTTCATTAGTTTTTTGTATGTTTTTGGCATTCTCCCTGTTTCGGCTTTCCGACGCTCCAAGACCGCCCAAGAGGCTCCCGAGACCGCTCGAAGACGGCCCCAGAGGCTCCCAAGAGAGCCCCAGACGCCCAAGAGAGCCCCAAGACTGCCCCCAGACTCGCCCAAGACGGCCCAAGAGAGCCCAAGAAGGCTCCAGGAGCCCTCGGACAGCCGTCCCGGCGGCCCCAGACGGTTTCGAGACGCTCCCAAGACCGCCTCCAGGTGTCTCCAGCGGCCCGCGATGCGTCTTAAGCTGCCGAGGACGTCCCCCAAGACGCCCCAAGAGGCGTGAAGATGCCGCCGACGAGCGGCCAGAGAGGCGAAAATCGTTGATTATCACAAGTATTTTCAATGTTTTTGCTTCCTCGCTGTGTTGATTTCCCGACGCTCCAAGACCGCCGCAGAGGCTCCCTAGACCGCTCCAAGACGGCCCAGGAGCCTCCAACAGAGCTCCTAGACGGCCCAAGAGAGCCCCAAGACTGCCCCCAGACCCGCCCAAGACGGCCGAAGAGGGCCCATAGAAGGCCGCAGGAGCCCTCGGACAGCCGTCCCGGCGGCCCCAGACGTTTCGAGACGCTCCCAAGACCGCCTGCAGGTGTCTCCAGGGGCC